TGTCATCCCTGCACTTTTGCTTGAGCCTTACCTGCACCTCATAGCAGTGTCTCTCTCTCCCGGGCTGAGAAGGAAAGGGTTTTACACCCCTGCTTTTGTCCAGGCACAGTGATGGTCAGGCCATGACCAAGACATTCTACGTCCAGGGCGTAGAATGAGCACACAGTACAGTTACTCCGCGATCCCTCTGCTGCTCCGCCTGGAGGAGCTGGTTTGCAAATGGAGGCCTCTTCTCCTCACAGACACCAAGAGGCGAGGCTAAGGGAAGACTCCAGCTGTCAGGAGAAACTGGAAACCTGAATACACCTGGTTTGGGCCTCTATTTATGGACTACAGGTAGACTTGGGACATCTGATGCTGGGGGAGACTGGGGGATGGCAGGCAGCCTGCCCGAATCCTCTGGCCTGAATGAGAAGTGGGAGGGGTGAAAAGATGGGGGTCTCCTTGAGGCAGGGGTGAGGCTGCTTTTGCAAGCTGCCTTCCTGAGGCCCCAGTTGCACAAGGCTCCATCACATGGGCCTTGCTGCCACCACAAACAGCCTGTTCTGTCACTTCCCTGCTGGGGCTGGGCTGAGCCGCCTCTGGCTCTCCCACCTGTCAGCTACCTCCCCACCCCACTCATCCCCCCACCCTTGCCACCGTGCGAGATGCCACTCCTCCCAATACCCTTCTACACCCAGGCCTCAGGGCCGGTGCCTCTCTGGGCCCAGCTAGGTAAACCTGTCCCCGCCCTGCTGCCTGGCAGCCCCTTTGTTGGGTCCCAGAGCAGACTGGTTTTCTCTGTGAAAACAGAGACAGAGCAGGTCTGACAGGGGTGCTGATGGGGACTGCAGGTCCGGCTGAGACACATCTGTCCCTGGGGCAAGGCACATGGCACAAAGGCACCAACACAGGCTCTAAAACTCCAGACCTACCACTTGAAACTGTGTGAGCGTGTGGTGGTCACACACCTCCCCCAGGATCAGTTTGCTGAAGAGAGCTGGTTCTGCTCTTGTATCCGCCCTGGAATCTGGCTCAGAGCCAGTAACTGGGTCCCAGCTGGCAGAGTCAGCTTTGTCCCTGTTTGGATCCTTGGGGACTGACGCCCTCTGGAGCCTCCAGCATCTCAGCCCCTACCTAGAGAGGTGTGGCAGCTTGGAGAATCCCCACCACACCCCCAGGTTAGTTGACCACATCTGGGCTGGACATATAGCAGGCACTCAACAAGTGTTTGTTAAAGGATTGAATGGCACAGAACTAGAGCTGGGAAACGCCCTGTGCCACAGGCATGCCCTCCACTTTGTGTTCTGCTGAACCGACCACAGCTCCAAGACCAGTTTTGTTGCCTCCTGACTGAGTCCTGTCCTTCCAGGATATGCTGGGCATCAGCTCTCAGCTCACCTCACAGGCTGTACTGTCCCAGACCTTCCTTTTGGATGTTGCCTGGTACCCATGCCCCTGGTTGCCTCTACCCCTTGCAGAGCCCCTGACCCCTGCCTACGGTGGGCCTGCCTTAACTTCCTGTAACTTTAAGGCACAGTTCCAACTCTGCAGGAGACCCACACTGCCCCTCTATCCAGCTCTGCCCACCACAGACTGCTTCCTCTCCACCATTCGGGTTCCTGGCCTTGACCAGCAGGCTTCTAGGAGAGAGGACACCTGGGTGGAGCTGGACCAGACAGGTCACACTGAAATGGGAGCATCTAAAGTTCTCTCTGGCTGTTTGCTGAGGCCCTGGAGTGGTCAGTACTGTGGACTGGGCATTCCAGGAAGAAAGAACTCCCAAGCAAGGCTTTAGATTCCCTTGGAATCCAGGCTCTTGGCTGGGGAGAGGCGGCTGGGCCTCAAAGAGCTGAGCCGGAATGGAGCAGACTCTACCTAGAGACCTGAGGCCACTAGACCAGGGAGGAGCAGGTCAGCAGCTGAGCTCTCTGGCTAGCCCCCACGGCCTCACAGGAAGGTATCCTCAAATATGGGCTGCCCCATGACTCCACGCCACCTCCCCACTCAGGGCTACATCAATTCTGGGCACTCTCCTGGATTGTCCTCCAGGTTGACCTCGCCCTTAGCCTGAGGTTGTTCTTGTCCAAATCCTTCCCTCTCATTCTAGGCTCAGGCCCAACGACATTCCCAAGGTTGTCTGCTCTTGCTGGAGCCTGCCAACCCTGCCTGCCCACTGAAGAAAGAGCACCATGACTTCTCCTGACCTTGGACAGACCTGGCTGCATACAGAAGGCCTGGGCATCATGCCCTGAGCCACTGGGTGTGGCCTCGAAGGCAGCAGAAGCAGAATTCTTCACCTTCCTAAGCCCCCTCATGCCCTCCCTGCCTCCCTCTGGGTCATGTCCAAAGGGCAAGCTAAGATAATAATTCCTGTAACTGTGGTGTTGTTAACAGCAAATGTTTTTTAATGCCTTCTGTGTGCCAAGTTCTCTGCGTGGTGCTGGAAAGACATAAATAAATAAGACGGACACAGCCCCTGCCCTTATGGATGACGCCTGGACCCAGCCCTGAGCACTCAATACATATTTATGCAGAGAAGAAGAATGCATGAAATAAACAGTCTGGTTATTCCCAGCAGCACAGACACCTGATGGATGTGCAGTAAATACGTGAAGGCCACCAGGGCAGGGGTGATGTGTGACCTGGCCACTACACATCCCCACCTTGAAGAGGACTTCCAGACCCTGTGACTGCCTTATGACTTGATATTCCAGCACGATAAGGTCTCAGCAATGCAGCAATCTCCCAGGACCAAGGCCATTACAGGGGGAAAGGAAATCTGAGGGCTTCCTTAAAGAACTTTCAGGAGAGTTGGAGAAGCCATAGAATCTGCAGCTTGTCTGACCTGCTGCCTAGAACTCAGTGTACCTTACGAGTGGGTTCACAGTATGGCCCCTATGAAGGGCCACCCCCAAACTCCAGGTACACAACCTGACCTGGCATCTCCCCTGTGGGAAGGCACAGTCAGAAGTAAGCCTCTGATGTTCTCTTAAGTCAGGGATGTCATCATGAACTCATGTGAGGGATGACTGGCCTGGATGCAGATCCTGCATCATTGCAATCTGTCCAGAATGCTGCACGATGAAATGGGGAAGTTTATGGACCAGATTCTAAAAAAGTCATCCAGAGTCCCCACCCCACCTCCACCTCCAACCCTGTGACAGAAGCCTTTGGAGATGGATTACACTGCCCAGAGACTCAGGGGCCAGGAAGGTCATACTCAGAAGGACCACTTCACATTCTCCCGGACAGAAGTAAACCGGTAATGAGGGAATTTCAGGATGGAGGCAAGGAGTGTAGGCAGTCTTCGGGATGCAAAATTGGGGGAAGCAAGCAAAGTATGAAGAGGAGTTTCAGGAATTCACTTTGGGATGCATTGGGCAGAAGCTTCCACAGACCCCTGAGGATCCCTTTCCCCAGCAAAGGTCTGTACGGTTTACATTCACCAGGACTCTTGGAGCAGGCTGACAGGCCTCTGACCACAAGCCATGCTGTACACCAAACCCTTGGGACTGCCAGTGATAAGGGATGGCTGCCCCCCACTCTCTACCCCATTTAGTAGGATTTAAGTCCTGGGAAACTTCTGGCCTACAGATATCAGAGAGACCATGCAGTGACCAGCTCTCCTGCTGGCCCTTCCACCTTTCTCCACTTGTGGTCTAAGTCTGCATGGGGCTGAGCAGAAACCTCCTCCACGACAAAGTGATGGAGAACAGCACAGTGGTTGGTGCTCTAATGGATTCAGACGTGCGCCCACACACACACACCCCAAATGCACTCCCATATACACCCTGCTACCACACACCACTTGTTTCTTTCCCAGTGAAGAGATAGCAGCATCTTGCCTCCCACGGAGGCACCCACATTCTACCCTGAAGGGCCACTCCCTTCCTTGGACTGCCCTAGGTTTGTGCCTCTCAAGCAGTTCTCCTTTTTGGGGGTTGTCAGAGACCCAGCGGACTCATTTCATCCCACCACCTGTGAGGAGCCCAAGAGCAGGGTCCTTATCACAGCTTGGCTAAAAGGACACATAAGGTTAAGGATCTGGGCTAAATGAGAGGCCTCCACAGGGTCTGGAAAAGTAAATGGTGTCTCCCTGATGTAGCCAGACAGAAGGGCCCGGAGAACCGGAGGGAGGTCAGTGGGGCCATGGTATCTGCATTGGCTGTTCAAGTACATCCCCAGAGGATAATGGTTGGGAATGGAGAGAAGACCTTGGAGAGAGAAGGGCCCAAAGTGAAGAGCTGCATATATTTCTTCCCTTCACACTGCACAGCCAGGACCCCAGCCGCTGCAGCTGCTCCTTTCTCAGGAGACCTGGGGAAACAAAGCTCCTGGCAAAGGACGAGGGGAGGGGGCTGTGCAGACAGGGAGGTGGCCTTCGAGGAGCCTGCAAGCAGCAAGAGAAGGCCTGAGTGTCCTGGGGAAGCAGGGACACCTTGCTTCCAGATACAAGTCAGGGACCACCTCTTCCAGGAAGCCTTACTGGCCTCCACAAACTAGTCTGAGGACCTTTCTGTGCCCACTCCCATGCTTGGTGCTGCCTGCTGTCGTCTTGGGTCTGCGTCCCTGGCCCAGTGCTGCTCAGGCCCCTGGTTCAGAGGGTTCTTGGTTCAGAGGGCTTCTCACACGGGAGGATGGGCCGTGGGTTTGCCAGTCAGGCCCATGAGGAGGTATCTGAGCTGGGCGCAGCCCCATCCCCCAAGTGGGCCCTCCATCCCTCCTCCGGCTGGAGCACCTTCCCTAAAAGCGACTTCAAAGGGCCAGTGTCGACAGCCGGGTTTGGGTCCGCGGACCGCAAATTCGAGGACCGAGCAGGATCCAGGCCGTCGGGGCCGTCCGAACTCGGGGGTCTCAGAGCTGGGCTGGGGTGCCGGGTTGCAGGCAGCCGAGGCTGAGGGCGGATCCTCAGAGCCCCCCGAAGTGGGAGGGTCGGGCCGGCCGCGGGGCCAATCCGGGCGCGCAGGGAGCGGGGGCGGGGGCTGGGACGAGGGGGACCGGGGCTGGCTGGCCGGGGGCGGGGCGCGGCGTCCAGGCGGCGGCGGCGGCGGCGGCGGCGGCGGTTCCTCAGAGTCCGGTTCAAGCTCCGGCTGCGGCTCCGGCCCGCGATGCCCCATTCCGTGACCCTGCGCGGGCCTTCGCCCTGGGGCTTCCGCCTGGTGGGCGGCCGGGACTTCAGCGCGCCCCTCACCATCTCGCGGGTGAGTCTGGCGGCTGCGTGGCGGCAGGGCGGTCCCGGGTCTGAGACTCGGTCCTCGCGGTCCGCCCGGGACCCAGATCCCCGATGTATCCGAGGCTTGAAGGCGGAGGGTGGGCCTGGGTGCCCTGCATGCTGTAGAGGCGGCTTCCAGGCAGGGCAGGCAGCCGCAGCCGCCCTCCTCCCACGCTGGGCCTGTCTGCCAGATCCCGCGGAGAATCTCCCAAGAGTTCACGCACCGGCCTCCCCGATGGCCTCATCTGGGGGAGCCACTGTGGACCCGGGAAGGACCCGCGGAGATGGGCCAGGGGTCTAGACAGCTCTACAGAGGCCCAGAAACTTTTCACTCACCCCTGCCTGGAGATCTGGGGCAAAATGATTTAGAACCCCCCCTTCCCCTATCAGGGGTCCCTGCTGGCAGAGCTGGGTGACCCAGGGAGGTCTGGGGTCCTCGCTGAATCTGAGAAGAGAAAGGGCCATCCACTTCCCACTTTGGGCATGAGTCAGTCTCTCATTCATGACCTCAGTCACCCTAAGGGGAAGTGACCAGGAGGAATTCTGGCTTCCAGGGGAAAGGGAGACTTGACTGTGAGGTTGTGAGACCCCTCCCCACAAGATGACACAAAGCCAGGGGTCAGGACAGCCTCAGGCCTGTTCCTCAAGTTTCCCAGGGCCCTGCCTTGCCCACGGAGAAGGAAAAGGAGCGGGCACAGCCCTGGAGCCCGGCTACTCTGAGTATAGAGGAGTGGAGGAGGTGACTCAGGCCCTGTTCAAGGGGGTGCCTGTCTAGGGGAGACAGGATCCTGGCCCAGCCTTGATGTCCTCGTGTCTGGAGGGCCAAAAGAGAGGACTCAGACCCTGCCCTTGGGGGGCCCCAGCCTAAGGGACAGAAGAGGAGAGAACCCAGGCCCTGCCCTTGGCGGCTCTCAGTCTGGAAGGAGCAGAGGAGATGACCTGAAACCATCTGACGGCCATCCCTTGCTCCCACACAGGCTCATCTTGTCTTTGGGGGCCTGTGTCAGAGGCACAGAGAAGCACCTTCCCCCACCCTACTGCCACCTCTTGCCGTGGGAGCTGGGCCAAGCCGGCTGGGCTTTCAGAGACTTCTCTCCAGTTCTTGGGAGGGGGTGGGCACCAGGTGGAGCATGGAATCATGGAGTCCCGTTTCTGGGGGCCAGGGTGACAGGCAGGCCCAGCTGTCCTAGGAGGCTTCCCACATCTGCCCTCACTGCCAGGTCCCTGGGGCTGAGTGAGGTGGGCCTTCAACACATCCCAGAGCCTTTCATCTCCCTCTTTCCTATTGGATTTCTGCTGTGTGTGTGTGTGTGTGCAAGCCTGTGTCTGCTTGTGTGTGTCATGCTGTGTGTCCGCTGAGGGGGCTGGTGGGGGCACTAAGCAGGCTGGCCAGGCACCCTGGGCGTGAGGCCGCTGACAGGCTCAGTGGCGGCGGCTGACGGCTGCAGGCGGCAGGGAGCTGAGACATCTGTTGCCCACGCGGCTGCCTGCCCGCGGAGGAAAGGCCTCCACACGTCACAGCCGTCACAGCCTCGGCTGGGGCAGCAGCAGCAGCAACGGCCTTGTTTGGAGCTGATTGGGGATGCAGGCCCCAGGCAGGCAGGCAGTCTGGGAGAAGGTTTGCCAGGAAGAGCCTCCCTTGTCCCCCAGAGTCACGCGGCAGCAGCTCAAGCCCTAGGAGCCAGGATGGCTGAGGTTGGGTTTGGGTGGGATCTGGGGAGATTTACAGTGCTGGGGAGGCACAGGCCACAGCTTGCCTAGCAGGTACCTCCGGGGCAGGTCTACAGGGACTGAAGATATGTGGGAGTGTCTTCACCAAGGGGGCTCAAGATCCAGCCCCTCCCTTGCTTCCAGGACTTCCCCTACCCAGAACCCAATAGGGAGGGACAGCCTCACGCAGACAGGGAGGAGGCTGTCAGCTTGGCAGGGCTGGGGGCTTGCAATCTCAGCCGATGAAGCCTCGGGGAGTCCCAAGAACATCATCTGGGGCTCCTTCCCCACAACCTATAATGATGGCTGGCCTTGGCCAAGCATCCAGGGTGTGCCAGGCCCCACCCTAGTGCATGTTGTTAACAGCTCCCTCCAGTCCCTGGAATGAGCACCACCTTATGTCCAGCCTCCTGTGGGGGCTTTACACGCTCTGATTTTCTCAAGTAGTCCTTACAACAGCTTTTAGAAGTAAGTACTCCCTCTGGCATTACATAGATGGAGACCCAGGCACAGAGAGGCTAATGTAATCGACCCAGAGAAGCAGAGTGGAGACAAGAGGAATCCAGGCAGTTGAGTTTGCTGTGACTGTGTGGGACAATGTGGCACCTGGTTCTGACTTGGACTCCTAGCCCACCACAACATCTAGACTGGGCGGATCAGGGGCTGGGAATGCAGCCATTACCGGTGAGGGGCTGATTCATGCCCTCACCGCCCACCTCACTTCACTGTTCCTGTCTCTGTTCCTTCTTTCTGTTTATCCTGTGCTTAGGAGCTAGAGGGATCGGCCTGAATTCCACTCTGTCCTGTGACTTCCCTGCTTAGAGCCCTCCATGGTTCCCAACCACCCAGGAGAAATGCCAGCTGCCCACCCGGGTATACAAGACTCTGCAAGATCTGTTCCCTGCCTGTTCTCTGACTTCATCTCTTCCACTCTCCCCTCATTCATGATGCTCAGGCCATACAACCTTCCTTCTACTTTCTCTCCAGATGTGCCATTATACATGCTGGTCCTTCTGCCTGGAACACTCTCTCTCCCTCAGATACCCTCTTTTCCCTTACCCCTTTTGGAAGAAAAGTACAGGTGTTAAAAGCGTAGTTTTAAATTTGGAACCGGGTGGCCTGGATTGAAATCTTGATTCAATCTTTTATCAGTTAACTATCCTTCTGTACTTCTCTGGACCTCCATTTCCTGATCTAGGAAATGGGCTTGCCTTCAGGATTAATGAGATAATGCATGTAAAGGTGGCTGGGAGAGTCACAATTTCTTGGCCTCACGCCCTCTCTGACCAGAACTCCCCTAGCTCAATAGAGCTGGCAGCATCCCAGCCACCCCTGCTTTCAAGAAACTTCCTCCGCCCACAGAAGCCTGAATGCACCCCTTGTGCTGCCTGAGTCATCCTGCCGCAGTTAGCCGCCCCCTGAAGAAAGACTCCTCCCCAGTGTGGGGACTAAGGCATGGCACCCCTCCCCCAGGCTTCTCTTTCTTCCTCTGTAAAATAGGGATGAGAACAGCCTCTGCCTCACCAGGTGGTTGAGGGCTTGCTGTGAGCTAGTTATGGGTAAAGCATAGAGCCCAGGCCCTGGCACAAGGCAGGTATCCATGAAGGGGAAGAGGCGGAGGAGGGCATTGAGGGGAGGGTGGGATGGTGCCAAGTGGGTGTCTCCCCCAGGATGACAGGCTTGCACAGGTGCCCGGGCCCTACAAGTGAACCTTCATGATTGCCTGGTTGGCTGAGAGTGTCATGCTTCAGAAGAACGTTTCCTTGAAGCAGCCTACTTCAGGGCAGGCCAGCTTGGGCAGTGCCAACACCAAGTCTCCAGCCAAGGAGCTGCCAGCACCTCAGCTTTGTCCACTCACTACTGAGACCTAGCTGAACTGAGCCTAGCTGGGCTTCCAGGAGTTCCCACCAGTAGGAGCTCCCACCCAAAAGAACGAGGTCACTGGCAGCTTTTGAACCAGTTGGGCACTGGCTGGAGAGGCTGGGTAAGAAATCTATTTCTAAAGGCTATGTTGGGGCCAAGGCAGGGTGAGGGGTGCTCCACTGCCTGGATTCCCCTGGGTTGCTTACTTGGGTATCTCTGCGAGTCTAACTCCACTCCCCATCCTAGCTTTCTTCCGTTGACCAGCATTGTAAGAGCTTCCAAGTGTGAACACTGCTTGACCCTGAGAGGTCAGTAGTGGCACTGAGATAGCCTGAGTTCCTGTCCTGCAGGGGAAGTAGAGCTAGAATTCTGACCCCCAAGTGCAGGCTGGCAGCTGCAACTGGATGGCCCTGGACTTGCCCAGGGAGGTGATGTTCAGACCTTCCCATTTTAATTACAATGAAGTATTAACATGAACAATGTAGGGGGAAAGGTGGTTATGGGAGCACACAGGGTAGTGAGATCCCAGAGAGGCTCCCAGAGGAAGTGGCCTCTATGCTGAGATCTGAAGGATGAGGATGTGGGAGTCAAAGGAATGTTCCAGGTAGAGGGAACAGCTTTTGCAGAAGTGTGGAGGTGACTGACATATGGTGCCTCTGAACACCCCATAGACATTCACATGGTCTGGACAGAGTATGGGTGTGGAGGTGGGGATGAGAGTTGAGATCAAGCAAGTAGGAAGGCAAGATCACTAAGGGTTTGAATGTTAGGCCAAGGGGTATGGTCTGTCTGGGTGGGGCCTTGTCTGTGTAGGGTATCTGTGACACATCCATGCTCTGTATGTATCTGTGAGCACATATGTCTCCATGTGTCTCTGTGGCCCCTGCATGTCCTTGGGAACACATGCAGGCTGCAAGAACAACATCCACTTGTCCCAGCCCAGAGGAAGCCCTTCTCATATATCCTCATGCCCTGCCAAGCCTCCAGGTGCTGGAGTTGGAGGTGTTTCCAGCAAGGCTTCAGCCAGGCTACATGGGGACCTCAACCAGCCTCTCGGCTTGCCCATCCACAGGCCATGCTGGGAACAGGCCACACTGGCTAGGTTCTGAGGTTGGAGGAGGCCTAGAATAGAGCTTGCGGCAAGGCCACATCATGACTGTGCCCAGCCATCTGGCTTGTCTGCCCGCAGGTCCATGCTGGCAGCAAGGCTGCATTGGCTGCCCTGTGTCCAGGAGACCTGATCCAGGCCATCAATGGTGAGAGCACAGAGCTCATGACACACCTGGAGGCACAGAACCGCATCAAGGGCTGCCACGATCACCTCACGCTGTCTGTGAGCAGGTATGCACAGGTGGGCTGGGCTGGGAGGATGGCGGGACGAGGTGGGCAGTTATGGGCAGCCAGCATCTTGGGTGAGCGCAGCTTCACACAGCTCAGCTCCTGGGCACCCCATCCAGGAAGAGTCCCAAGGAGTAGTACTTTCATGGGGGCCTGGCAGACACTGTTTAGAGCTGTAGCTTAAGAAGGGAAGAAATCCCCTTTTAACTTAGACTAGAAGTGTGTTGGGGCACTTACGGCAAGTGTTGCAGGCAACTGAAATAGGACCTTGAATAGTCTCTGGGACATTTGTTTCAGTCCTTTCCCCTCCCCTGAGTGACCAGTGTGATGACCATTTCAAAATAGTTTCTTGTGCAACACCTCATTTAACCCTCATTTACCAACTTAAAAAAGGTAAAACCTAGTGTAGTCCCCACTTCACAGATGAGACAAGTGAGGCTCAGAAAGGTTAGAAGGTGCTTAAAGTCACATAGAGAGGGAGTGGGGTAGCAAAATTTGACCTCAGGGCTCTCTCCTAAGACTACAGACCCTTTACTTGGCTGCTGACCACTCCTACCAGCCCCACAGCTGCCCTGCCACAGCTGTCCCCACCGTGGCCCACACTCTGCCCTGGTTAAATATGGATTTGGGAAAAGTTCGTGCTATGGACTGTGTAATGCTGTGCAGCCGATCAAGAAGGGAGGACGGGGGGTTGCCAAGCCCCATCTGTGCCCCATAAATGGTCCTGGGATGGAAGGTCCACTGAGGGTGGGGGTGGGGGGACCCAGCCTTGGTCAGGTCCTGGGCCTTTACTCTGAAAAGCAGTTGGCCTAAGCCTGGCTGAGTGGGATCTCCCCACTCCCCTGCCCACCTCAATCCACAGAAGTCAGGCATAACTTATCAACTCTGCCATGTTCACTGCTGATGGGGACTTCCATGACCACCTGTGGAAGTGTGTGGGCAAAGCCTCGCCAAACCACAACACAGCTAACCATGCCTCTGAGCTGACAGGGTGGGAGGTGAGCCATTGGCTTGGAGCCATTAAACATAGTAGAAAGGCCTGTGAGGTCGCCCCTGTTTGTGGTTGGCCCATGGCCAGATCGGGGTTGGGGTCAGGACCCCTGCCTGTGCCCGTGGCACTCAGTGGGCCCAGCTGCAAGTCCAGGACCTTGTATGCTCTACCTGGCACATGGTGAGGATGCTCCATCTTTGGAGTTCAGCAAAGCTGGTCCTCATCCAGCCTCTGGAGCCTTAGGTGCCCAGATGACCTCTATGAGCCCGGGTTTCCTTTCTCATAAATGGATCACATTCATCACCCTCCTCCAGACTGAGATACAGGCTGGATGGGGGAAATGTCAGCACTGCTCTGCCCATGAGTGGCCTCTGAAGCCTCCCCGGCTTGGCTGGGATCCTGGCCTCTGACTCACCTCCAGCCTTGTCTCTGTGTAACTGAACAAGGGCAGCCCTAGTGGTAGTGGAGTAGTGGAGAGGAGTGCCTCAGAGGGGGCCTGAGTCAGGAGCTTCCCAGAGTGTATGATGTCAGGGGAGGGTGGTGGGGTGGAGGTCCCCCTCCTTCTTTCCTTCCTTCCTTCCCCGGTCCTTTGTTCCAAACCAGGCATGGATGGAGCCAGAGGTCCACTGACCTGTTCCACTCTGGGCATTTCAGCCCCAAAATGTCACTGGCCATGGAGCAGATGAGAGCACATTCTCTACTATTACAGAGCTGGGTTGAGAATTAGGCTGTGCTGACACATAAAGTTACCCATAAAAGAGAGAGAGGGAGAGAGAACTCTGCTGTGCTCCAGCAAGTGATTTAATGTCTCGAGCCCATAACTTCCTCAACCAAAAATAGGGACCATCTTGTGATCTGGACACTGAGTGATGATGATGTACCAGGCCTGCTCAGTAAGAAAACCTGAGTCCTACCCTGCAGCCCCCATCTCTAACCCTCATGCATGCAAACTGTGAGGAATCAAGACATGAGGGCCACCTTGACCCTCTGAGCCAGCATTTCTTCTACTGGACACTTTCCCACCTGCAAGCTTTCTGACTCTGCTCCCTATCTTGCCTGCTATGCCAGGACCTATGCCTGGGCCCAAAAGACACTCCTCCCCGCCCCTACGACACACACCCACACAGCAAGGGCTCTGCACAGAATCAGCCTGTTGAGTTGGCTGGAGTGAGCTACTCTGTGCTCTCACTCCCACGGTGACCAGCTTCCCTACCTGCCCTCTTGTGTACAGCGAGCTCTAATCCCCCCACAGACTTCCCCATAGAATGAAAAGTGTATCAAAGGCCCAGCTTCCCCAATGGGCTTGTTTTGTTTTGAGCCCAAAGCCAGGCATCCAACAATCCAAGCAGAATCACACTTCCTGGGCATGTTCTATAGGTCCAGGACCTTCCTGACATCAACTTCAACACTGAGGCCACTGATGGAGTCCCTGTTGTCCGTCACATGTGGCCCAAGGTACCTTTGCACAGCCTACTCTTTGCCTGTCATTTTGTTTAAAGAGCCCAGACTGTGATGGGGGTTGACGCATGATTAAGCCTTTCATTCTGATCTGATGCATTGGGCCACATTAATGGCTCTGGGTACTTTGTGCCCTTTGACCCTTAGACGTCAGGCTTTTACTGCTCTTCTGGGCAGAGCTTCAGAGAAGTTTAAGGCCAAATAGCCACACAAGATGTCCCAGCTTTATCCAAGAGAAGCTCTGAGTAGGCAGAGGCCACAGTTAAAGCTGTGAGTTAGGGTAGCCACTTGGGAGCCTGCTTGAGGGGGCTAGAGACAGGGACTATGGGGCTGGTGTTGCCCTGAAGTAGCAGAGCTGTAATACTGAAGGCCTGGAGTAGAGAGGTAGCCTCCAAGGGACTAAGGAATGGGCAGAGGCAAGGAAGTACAGAGTGAGTATGGACCATAGGTGTAGACAGATTATTAAAACCCTCAACTGAAGGGGCAGAAGTGGCAGGGGTAAGCTACTATGTCAGTAGTGAGACCTCGAGAAGCCTCAGGAGGCTTCGTTGGGTGAGTTGGAGGACATTATTCCCCTTTGGTCTAACTAGCCTCACTTCACACCCACCCACCAGTCCAGGGTCCATGCCCCTTCCTGGCCTGCCTTTTCACAGGGCTACTGAGTGACAGGGCTGGGCCCTAGGCATGTAGCCTCTCGGCCTGCCTGCCCTGCCTATGGCAGGTTTACGATGTTTTTCTCCCTCCTGAGTGGTGTTTGGCTTTTGGTTTCTATGGCGAAGCAGGAATTTCCTAATGGCCTGTTTCCCATCTGGGCTGGGCAGACTCAGTGATGACTCTGCCGGCAGCAGCAGCAGGAGGAAAGACACACCCCTCGGAGCCTCCATTCCACCTACCCCAGAGCTGATGGATGCCTGACCTCACAACCCCCCAGAGGCATCTACGGATGCCCAGAGGATGAGTGGATAGGCTTCTAGCTGGTCAATGTGTGAGGCCTGACTTGCAGTGCTGTACGCTGGGCCTCTTTGAACTGAGCTTCTGTAGGCCACGAAGAGGGTGGAAGATTAGGGAAGCCACAGGGCTTGTCCTGCAACCACTCCAGGAACAGACCAGAGAGGGACTGGGCAGCTGATGGGGACAGAAGCATATAGCCCTGCCCCAGGAGGATGGCAGCTAGAGTTGTGGCTCATTGCCACAACAGTCACCATTGTGGTACAGGGGAAAGCACTGGAGTGGTGTCCTTCTACCTGCAGGGCACAGCCCAGAGCCCAGCCCCTCTTGATCCTGGCTCCCAGGCATGGTGGCCTCGGTAGGAGACATATCTGACCATCACAATTTCTGCCACAGGCCTGAGGGCAGGAGCTGGCCCAGTGCCCCTGATGACAGCAAAGCTCAAGCACACAGGACCCACATCGACCCTGAGATCCAGGTATGTACAGACACTGCCTGGCCTGGCCTGGCTCAGAGTGAGCCCAAGGCAGAGGGGCCAGCATGCAGGTTCACCTGCACTGAGTGTCCTCAATGGGGCTCTCAGATACCCAAGACAAAGACTGAAGCAGAAATTTTCTCTGGACCATGCCCATACCCCATCCCATGTTCCTCAGATAATGAGCACCTGCGTGGCTCTGTCTCTGCTCCAGGCAATCCTGGATTCTGGACCAAGGTGCCTATGATGTCCAGGAGCTGGGCTAGGCCTTGGTTTGCAGCTACCACACAGCCAGCTGGAGTTCACTGTGGTGCCCAGTAATGCTAGACCATTAAGAAGTCACTGTGCTTGTAGCAGGGGAGGTTGGTGGCAGTCTCAGGCTGTGGAGTGACCTCAGGCTATGGGACACTCCTCTGGGTGCCCTATCCAAGCCTGAAGTTCTCTCCTGATCATCCTGTGGTGCTTCTATCAGAACTCAGGCTGCAGGCCTGTTTGCCCAGTCACCTTTCTGTATGTGATAAGAGTCATATCTCTGGTCCTGTCCTCAAGAATAGTGAGGGGATCAGGCTGTTCTAGGGCCTTGTTTTACCATGGCATGAGGAGTAGCCAAGTGGGGATGGCTGAGGTATCCAGAGCCATCACTGGGACACAGAGTTTGGGCAAGGAGACTGGGATGGTCTGTGATGGAGCCAGAACCATGGGACCCAGCATGTGGGACCATTGCCTCCTGAGCCTACCTTTGTCCACCCTCTCAACATGGAAGAAAAGGGGCCAAGGCAAGGAGAGGCTTCACTGAACCAGAGGGAAGGATGTGCCTCAGCTTCTCCCTCACCATCTACCCCAATCCCATCTTGCTCTATTCCCTACCCTGCCTGGCTGGCATCTCTGAAGCCAGATGCTTACCACCTTCCAGACAGTGCCCACTCTGGCAGGGGAAAGGGACTTAGAAGTTCTGGGCTAGGGGAAGCCAGGGGTCAAAGGAGCCCAGAGTAGTCACATGACTCAGACAAGGAGTCAAAGAGGGCTTCCTGGAGGAAGGGGTATTGAAGCCGAGACCTGAAGGCCTAGGAATGGTAAGGCAGGCAAAGGGGTATAGGGAGAGGAAGTGTGGCCCAGAGGTGAGGTGTTGCACCACAGGTTCAGAGAAAAGAAAGGTCCAGGGGAAGGGAGGGCAAGGTGGGAGGAGTGAGAGGACAGAGGTGAGAGATAAAGTGGTGGGGCAGGACCACAGAAAGGTTCTTGGGCTTCTCTATCCTGGACCTCAGCTGTTCTTACAGGGATCCACGGCCACATCTGTGTCTCAGAAGCTTGCTCTGGTGGCCCTATGGACCCCAGGCCTTAGGGGCAGGGGTACATGTTGGCATAGACAAATGAGCCAGGCTTGCCATGGGCCAGGCAGAGGGGAGCAGCATAGTGCAGGCCCCAAGCTCATGCATGAGGCCCAGCCTCCCTCAGAGGCAGCAGTGCCAGGATGGACATGACGGGGTGGGGAGGGGGTTCAGTCTTCCAGGAGAGGCTCAGGGCCGGTGGGCCTGGGAGGCTGGCGACTGTAGAGCAGCTCCCCCTGCCCCCACACTTATTCTCATTGACTCCCTTGAAGACCAGGCTGCCAGTGGCTCACACTGGAGAAGGAGGGAGTTTCCATAAGCACCAGGGCAGCCCCTCAGCTGCTGCCCCACTTTTGTACTTAAAAGATCATGGACTCCATGGGTGGTGACAAAAACACTCCCACCCTGCCCTTGCAGGGCTGAGTCCTTGCTAACACAGACACAGGGTCCATTGTCCCCATGCTGCTCCCACCCTCTGCCTGAGTGGGGGTGTTGGGGAGGGGGTGGAGCTAGCTGGAGCCATTGAGGAGGAGAAGGAAACTACAGTTGGCCCTAGGACCAGCACAAGGTGCCCTGGCACACATCCCCGAGTGCGATGGGACAGGGCCAGCTGGAACTTCAGGCCCACCTTCCCTATGGGGCCATAGGAGAACCTCCTCCTCTCAGGCCTCTTGTGGGAACACAGGAGGTACTTGGCCTAGCCCAGGGTGGAGGAAGGATGGTGATAAGTCAAGGTTTTCTGGAGGGAGTGGCAATTATGCTGAGAACCAGGTGATAGGGAGAAGCAAGTCAGGTGGAGCAGGCAGTCCTTGCACACTCAGCCTGTCCTCCCCAGACCAGCAGAGAGCTAGAACTGAGCCTCTAGGAGGTGGCACCTGCTCATCTGGACTCAGCGCCTGCCTCCAAGTTGAGTGTCCCAAAGCAGGTAGTTACCCCCATCCTGCTGAAAAATCCACTGAGGCTTCAACAACCAAGTGGGCAGCAGGTTGGTTCTCAGAGCAGAGGAGCATATGGTACGAGGTGCACCACCCACAGAGGGGGAAAATCCAGGACTGGGGGCCCAGGAATTCCCCTGACAGCCATTCATCCAATGAGTATGTGCTTTGTGCCAGGCACTGTGCAATTGTCTTATTTCATCTCCACAAGGAACCTGATATGGAAAGCATCACATTCCCCAGCTCATAGATAAAGAAACAGGTTCAGAGAGGTGAAGTGACTTGCCCAGTTAGGGGATAACCCTGGGACTCAAAATAAAACTGAGGTAGCCATGTGTGTCCTAACCACAGAGTTCAGGCCTAGAGAGGCAACTGCATGGGTGGCCGTGGGAGGGGCAATGGCTCTGTTGCCCTGCAGTGGACCCCTCCACCCTGCTGGGTAGGGGTGAGTGAGGGCCTCCTTCCTCCCAGTCCCAGTCCCTCCAACTCCTCCCTCCCACCAAAACCTCCGCCCAGAGGCCCAGCCCCACCCCCACTGGCCACAGCCCATCTGGTCCCCATTAGAGGCCAGCCCTGCCTGCGTGCCTGCCCGACAGACACATGTGTGAGAGCGCTCAGGTTTCTCAGGGGTTTTTGTTGGGCCTGATGTGAATAAGGGTTTTCCTGTTGCTGCTGCATTGATGGGGGCCACCTGGGTAGCAAGACCCTCCTGTTTGTCTGTTGGGGTGGGGGAAATGGAGGAGGGCCCACCCAACTGCTGGTCTGCCTGTTCCCCAGGTTCCCACCATGCAAAAAGTAGGGGACAGTCAGGGCAGAACCCCGCAGGCTCAACTATGCGTCAGAGCTGCCTAAGTCCAAACCAGGGCTCTTCCCACTACGATAGGCATGCTTTCCTGTCCACACTGCGCTCTGTGTGCACACTGTAGAGCAGAGGCGGTTTACATGTCACTCCCAGGCTGAGGCTAAGACCTACCCCATGGCCTGGACTCAGAAGTCATCCTAAAATCATGCTGCTCTGGCTGCTGGCCCAGTCTCAGCCATGGAGGCCACCATGGCCATTTCCAGGGTGACCAGTGCTGACTCCAAGTCTCTGTAACCATGTGCGTGTGGTTAGTTTTATGTAGGAAGATTGGCAGGTGCATATGTGTTGTCCTTATGCTTGTGTGTGTGTCTTTAAAACATACTTGCGAGAGTCTGCATGCCCCTGTTTACATTGCTGTGGGTGTGCTCGTGTGCACTTGCAAGCTGGGAACAGCACAGCTCTGGACTCTGCAGGGACAAAGATCCCCAGTCCCCACTCAGACCCACACACACAGAGATACTGCCCTCTCCTCATGGCTGAGGGGGCAGGTTCAGGACACCCCCCAAAATGTTTCAGCCATGGGCACCAGGCTGGCTGTGGGGTAGTGGGGCAGAGAGCCTTGAGCCCTAGCCTGGTCTCTGCCCTTCATCTGCTCTGCCTGCAGAAGGCTACTCATTGTGGCCTGGAAAGCAGGAAATAGGGGACAGGTGTAGGCCCAGAAGGGGCTGACCTGACAATGGCACTCTTGAGCCTCAGCCTGCCCAAAGGGCCTTGGACACATGACAGTCAAGGACCCTTCCTGGCTGTAGGACAAGAGTTACCTTTTTTAGTTCCCAGCCGTGGGCCCACCCAGTACCCGCCGCAGTTCAGGCAGGTGAGAAGGCTTGGCACCAGGGCCACTTCTGCCAGGAGGCCATATACCCTACTGTAGCCACACTGACCTTGGGCTTCTTGGGATAGGCCTGCCCCAGTACTATCCCTTCATGAGTGGTGGTGGGCAGAACCACTGCAGGGCTCACAAGCCCAGGCTGAGTCTCAGCTGCTCAGGTTTTTGTGTCTGACTTTCCAAGGACATTTCTCATTTCTGCAGGGGCAGAACCAGTCCCCACGCCCAGTCCTACCCCAGAAATCCCTTCCCTGACTGAGCACCACGGGCCAGAGGTGCCAGAGCAGAGGTAGCCAGCTGGCATCCACCACCTGGCACAGCACAGCAAGGTGGAGGTGGGGTGAACAGGGAATGGCCAGAGGCCAGAAGGTCTCCCAGTGCCTTGGGCCTCTCTCTCATAGGACGGCAGTCCAATAACCAGCAGGCGGCCCTCAGGCACCGGGACTGGGCCAGAAGATGGCAGACCAAGCCTGGGATCTCCATATGGACAACCCCCTCGCTTTCCAGTCCCTCACAATGGCAGCAGCGAGGCCACCCTGCCAGCCCAGATGAGCACCCTGCATGTGTCTCCACCCCCCAGGTAGCACAGAGATGCCTTCGGTGCCATGCCCAGAGCCCATCTTAACCCTTGATCCCTCAAATCTCACCCAGTCCCATCCTGACCCCTGACACTTGATCCTTGGGTCTCAGCTGGTTGCATTCTGACTCATAAGCCTCACCAGACCCAAGTCCACAGAGTGAAGGCTGGAACTGCATCCTTTCCTCCTCTACTTCTTTCTCCCTCCCAGCGCTGACCCAGCCAGAGGCCTCCCACGGAGCCGGGACTGCAGAGTGGACCTGGGCTCCGAGGTGTACAGGATGCTGCGGGAGCCGGCCGAGTCCGTGGCTGCAGAGCCCAAGCAGTCAGGCTCCTTCCGCTACTTGCAGGGCATGCTAGAGGCCGGCGAGGGTGGTAAGACGCCTGCCACCTGTCCCCACTTGCCTTCCCACTCCCTGCAGTGCCCAGGTTGCCCCCTAGCGACCCCACATCCCTCCTCCCAGTCACCTGCCCTCCTCGGTCTCTGCGGCCCGGTCCCACACCCTTGCTACACCCTTGCTACGCCCTCGTTTTGTGATTCCCACTCCACCCCGTGTCGCTGCCCCTCACCCCACGCCCGCCAAACCCATTCCCCAGTCTCGGTGCCGATGGCCCATCCGGCGCCCAACCAAACACCCCGCAGAAATGGAGTTCTGACCTCCTTACCCCGTTCATGCCACCTACGCTCCGGGTTTCAGGGGAGCGGCCCGGGCCTGGCGGACCCCGGAACCTCAAGCCCACGGCCAGCAAGCTGGGCTCTCCGTTGAGCGGCCTGCAGGGGCTGCCCGAGTGCACGCGCTGCGGCCATGGCATCGTGTGAGTACCCGCCCCCGCTGCCCTTCCTGGACCCCAGCCCTCCAGGGCCCTGGATGTGGGCGCAGTCGCGAACCCGTCAGTCACTGGACGCTGTCTTCCCCGCATCAGGGGCACCATCGTCAAGGCGCGGGACAAGCTCTACCATCCCGAGTGCTTCATGTGCAGCGACTGCGGCCTGAACCTCAAGCAGCGTGGTTACTTCTTTCTGGATGAGCGACTTTACTGTGAGAGCCACGCCAAGGCACGCGTGAAGCCGCCCGAGGGCTATGACGTGGTGGCGGTGTACCCCAACGCCAAGGTGGAACTCGTCTGAGCTGGGCCCCTGCTCCCGCCCCTGCTTCTTAAGGTCCCTACTCGGCCGGTGTAAATATGTTTCGCCCTGTCCCTCTAATAAAGTTCCTCTGCTCCACCTTGAACCTGTCACCTGGCCTGCCACCCTGCTGCGTAGGCCATGCATGGCTCCCGAGTGCAGTAGCATATGCTCAGATGCCAGGAATGTCCTAGGCTCTCGGTGCAGTGGTGAGCAGGATGGGTACTATGCTGCCCGGAAGGGGGCCACAGCCTGGGTGGAAGGCAGACCTCAATCACAACGGGGCAGCTCTAGTAATAGGAAGGTGAGGTCTGGGATGCTGCGTGCGGCGCGACGACAGGAGGTATGACCTGGGTGGGGTCAGGGAAGGTGTTAGCTGAGAACTAAGAGATGAAGGAGGCACGAACTCCACACGGGTGACGGGTGGAACTGTGTGTGCAAAGGTGAGCAGGGGGGTGAGAAAGGCCCCTGTGGCCCACATCGACACTAGCGGGGTGGGGGTGGGGGTGCTGGCAGCCTCTGGAGCGATCGCTCCCCTGGAGAGCGTGATTGAGCGTGGAGATCACCTGGGCCGCCGCAGGCGGTCTGCACTTCCTGGCATTCTCTCTTCCAGGTTTCTTTCACCCAGGAGCACTTTATTCTACCCGGAGACCCCCTTTTCTTCCCCTTCCTCTCTCTCCCACCAGGGGGCGCGCTTAAATTTCCAGACGGAGACCAGAAGGAAGGTTTAGAAAGAAAAGAATACTTGCCCAGGGCAGCTTTGCCCTCCAAGAGGCTACCTCCTGTCTCTAAGTCAATTCCACCCCTCCTTGGAGTCCCGGCTTCCACCCCTTCTCGGAGTCCTGGCGTTTACCGCGTGGTGGGTTTGCCTTGGACCTTTCATGTCCCGGCTGCACACATCGTCTGTGAATTGTGGCTTGTTCACTCCCGAGGATGAGTCCTAGACTCCGGGTCGCGTGGATCTACCCTCTAGTTTACTTGCTCGGGACAAGAAACTGATTCGTTTTATTTAGTGCCTGTTTAGCGAGCCCAGAGTAACATACATTTGTGCTGTTTTCAATTTTGTGCTATTGCAAACCACAAAAAAACTTACCAATTCACATTCATCATCAGCAGGAGACGTTTCCTTGTGCTCCTGCCAACTCAGGATATTACGTTTCTTTTTTCATTTTTGCCAGTCTGTTAAGTAAAATATCATATGCGGTTGTTTTAATTTGCATTTCTCTGATTACCAGTGATGAGCATTCAGTCTTTGAGCATTTATCGTGTGTTTGCTGGGTGCCTAGCACTAAGGGAACAGAATGGTCCTCACTCTCAAAAGAGCAGTTCCTGTGTAAGTTACCCCAAACCCTTCACAATTTTTTTCCGAGGCTTATTTAACTTCTTCTTAATGATTGGTAGGAACTTTTCCTAATTTTGTACGAATCTTTGTTACTGGATTCTGGTCATCTAATTCCCTGTTCCTATGTAATTACTACTGTGTTGGAGTTTAATAGCCAATCTGTCCTCCTTGTTGGTCATTTACAAACTTGTCAAAGCTATACTTGTACATTTCCAGTTGCCAGAATTTGAGACTGCATGCTTCAGGTTCTGGAAAAACAAACCTCTTTGAACTGTGACCAGGTTGCCCTGAATCTAGAGACTCACTTGGGAAGAACTGGCATTAGTCTTTTCCTCTAGAGAGGACTGTGATCTGCACTTACTGTGCATTTATTCAGATATCATGTCTGTGTTCGCTTAAATTTTTATTTTCCTTTCTTCTCATAGATCTTCTGTTCATGGTTAAATTTGTGCTAAAGATCCCTTCTAAAGGCTCCTTTTGCCTCCTCCTTTCGCTGAAGGAGCACAGTTCAGGGCAATGGGCAGGTGCTGATAGAGCAGTGAGGCAAGGTGGGGTCCTGGTCCTGCAGGTGACCCCAGACCATGTCCGGTCCTTGTCTCTTTTTGCTTCCGAAGGGGTCAGAATGTGTGCGGCGAGGCCCTGAAGGCGCCCCACCGTGGCGCTGCATAGGCGTGCGCGCACACACAGTACACACATGCTCCCTGCAGCCATACCCAAATAGGGTGGGGCAGTGGAGGAGTCTGCCCTTGCCTCCCCACCCTGCCTCGGCAGACTTGATCCCAGCCCCACCCAGTCATAAGTGGGAGAGGAGAGGATGACTGGCACCCTGGAAAGTAGGGAAGCATTATTAGGCACAGGAGAGGGTGGAAAAATACCGGGAGCCATGGGCCCCGGCCCCCACCTCTCATTCCCACTCACCCGCAGAAACTCGACTCTCCCACTGGCTACCACAGATCCACTAGCCGCTGGTACTCACCTTAATCCCAGGACACGCAATAACCCCTTCCCCCTGCAGGACCTACCCACTCAGAGGCTCCCTGCCACCGTAGGCTACCCCGAGATCAACAGCTCCACCCCTGAAGGGTTGCAGCAACTACAGCAGCCCCTGCCTGGGCATCCTGGTTGGGGGTGGCTTGGAGGGCAGCTAAGGGGAGTGACATTCAAAGCTGACAGCCTCATTTGTCCTTTCCCCAGCTTCAAGGCCCAGCCTCTACCCAGTCCCCCAGCCCACCTCTTCTGCCCAGGGCCCCTGAGTGTAGTAGACCGTGAAAAGTTTGGGACAGGGTCCTCATGGGACAAGGTATGTATGGCCCAGGGTCCCAGTACTGAGACACGGGACATCAGAATTTCTCTCCAAGAGGGGGAACCAGATCCAGGATCCCCAATTCAGAGTGCTCCAGGCTCCAGCCTACCTGGCTAGAACCAACTTTCATTGCTGTCCCCAAACCTGCTACATCCCTCCAACCCCAGGGCCCAGTTCTTTACCTCAGGGGCTTTCAAACCAGAGACACGGATATCATCCTCTACACACTCATACCAGCCATCACATCCTACCCAGCACTGTGTCTAGGATTTTGCCTCCCAAGCATTTTTAGACCCATTTCAGGGCAGTTGAAGGAATCTCTCACTCCCTTGCTTCAACTCTTCCAGGGCCCTCAGGATGGAGTCCCTGGTCCTCCGCCTAGCATTTAAAGCCTCTCTGACCTCAGGCTGCTGACTGCTTTGTCTCACCTCCTCTGCTACAGCAGACAGTCCAGTCCAGCATCTTCTGAGCTGGTCCACCTTTTCATAGCCCTCAGACCTTCTCTCAAGCTCAAAATGCCTTTCTTGTTTTGTCATGGCTCAGCAAACTCGCACTCACTCTTCAAGGCCCAACTCTACTGCCCCCTCCCCTAGAGGAAAGCCTTGGCCCTCCCATCCCTAGGGAGAGTTAATAGTTCCCATCCACATGCCCTCCATCCCATCCCTTCCAGTTTTGCCTGGCGCCTCTGGCACAACCTGTTATCTCCTTGGTCAGACCCTGACTCAGATTTACCTCTGTCCTGCCCAGACTCCACCCAGGCCAGGAACTTGGAGGTAAAGGGGTCCTGGAGAAGCACCCACCCTCACTCAGGCACACAAGCACACACATCCACTCACACATACATTGGGCTTCCCTTCCTCCCACTACCTTTCACCTCACCTCCCACATCAGGTTTCTGCAAGCATCCCGCCTAAGTTCTCAGTGGGAGGTAAGTCTTGGAGCAGGGGTCTTCAATCCCCAGGCCCCAGCCCATGGCCTGCTAGAAATTGGGTTGCACAGCAGGTGAGTGGCTTACAAGTGAGTGACGCTTCATCTGTATTTACAGCCGCTCACCATTGCTTGCATTACTGCCTGAGCTCCACCTCCTGTCAGATCAGCAGTGGCATTAGATTCTCGAATTCTAGGATTCTAGGAGTAGGAATTCTAGGATTCTAGGACTCCAGGAGTATGAACCCTATTGTGAGCTGTACAAGCAAGAGATCTAGGCTGTACATTCCTTATGAGAATCTAATGTCTGATGATCTGTCACTGTCTCCCATCACCCCCAGATGGGACCATCTAGTTGCAGGAAAACAAGCTCAGGGTTTCCTTCACCATACACTATGGTGAGTCGTATAATTATTTTATTATATATTACAATGTAATAATAATAGGAATAAAGTGCACAATAAGTGTAATGTGCTTGAATCATCCTGAAACCATCCCTGCCCTCCATACATGGAAAAATTGTCTTCCACAAAACCAGTCCCTGGTGCCAAAAAGGTTGGGGACTGCTGTCCTGGAGGGCACCTGCTCCCTCCTGCATCCTCAACCTCAACTCACTCAGTCAACTAAATATTTATAAAAGGTCAGGCACAGTGGCTCAGGCCTGTAATCCTAGCACTTTGGGAGGCCAAGGTGGGGGGATCACTTGAGGCCAGGAGTTCAAGACCAGCCTGGCCAACATGGCAAAACCCCATCTCTACTAAAAATACAAAAATTATCCCGGTGTGGTGGCATTCACCTGTAGTCCCAGCTGCTCAGGAGGCTGAGGCAGGAGACTTGCTTGAACCCAAGAGGTGGAGGTTGCAGTGAGCCAAGATCATGCCACTGCACTCCACCCTGGGTGACAGAGCAAGACTCTGTCTCAAGAAACAAAAATACCTATTAAGAACCTTCTATATGCCAGGCATTGTGTTGTACACTAGGAACACATTTTGAACGAACATGTAAAATAACTACAGGCTATAAGCGGTACTATCAAGGAAATAAAAAAGGCATTACCGTAGAGCATAAGGGATTCTCTTCATATATGGAATCTGGAAAGGCCTCACAGATAAGGTAACATTTGGGCAGAGGACTGAGGTGGTAAGATAGCATCTGTGCAGGTATATCCGGGGGGATTACATTCCAGGCAGAGGGCACAGGAAACCCTAAGGCCCTGGGCAAGCAGTGATTGAAGTGGTGTAAGTGAGGTAGCTGGAAGTAGTAGATGAGGTCATCAGAGAGATGTGAGAGAGAGAAGGCTGTGTTGGCCCTTGTGAGCCACTGTTCCATGGATAGCAGGACTATGCAAACCCAAAGACTGAGGGAGCTGAGAAGCCAAAGAAAGAGGTTAACAAATCCAGTTTCTCAGAGAGAAATATATAAGAGGGACTTACGAACAGAAGTGATGTCTTGGGTGGCTGCAAGACTGAATCCTGACACCAGCCATCCAGAAAGTATCCTTTATATAGCAAACTCTTAGGGTAAAACATGTGCA